AGAAGGACTTGTACAGTGCGCAACGGCATCGGTTGTGACAGGAAGAATGAACTCGAAGAGTAGGATCGATGACAATGCTCGTACACTCCTCCAACAACGGGATTCCGTCCACCGTAACTCTGCATCCACACCACTGGAACGTGCTACGATTAACAAAGCATGCCGATACGCTGTGAAGGAGTCGATTAAGCGATACAAAGACACTCGACTGAAGGAAACGGCAGAAGTGAGAGCGAGCCTCAAGCGATGTCGTCGGGACATGAGTGACTTTCGCTCGATCATAACCGTTATGAGAGACGCGATGGGGAGACCGTAGACATCGAGAACGAAGATTGAGGAGATTGCCGTCAGCTACTATACGGACCTCTTCCGATCGACGACACCGGTTTCCCGTATCCCTACACCAACACAAGAGGTGGCTCCGCGGATAGAAGAGTGGGAGATTAGACCGCATTACGTAGATGAAGCCGAGAAAAGAACGGAGCCGGACCGCATATCTCAGGGCCTTTCTGAAAGTCAGCTTCCTACACTATAACTGTCGTCAGAGCTCCATCAGCGCTCTTATAGTACCGTGGAGGAGCAGTGAGTTACGGACGCAGTGAAGACGTCAAATACGTGTGCTTTTGTTTCAAGGAAAGGCGGAGCGGACAACTGGACACTATGTCTCAATTGGCTCTCTCACAGTTGTCAAGCGTGTCACGGAGATTTTTATTCTAACAGACTGGAAGGACAACCTGGCAGGACTTATAGCAGTGGAGCAGGCCGGGTTCCGCAAAGGGCTTCTGTTGTATGGACCACTCACACGTTCCACGCAGCTGATCGAGCGAACCAAGAAGAATACAAGCAGCCGACTCTTCTTTGCTTCATCGACTCTGCGAAGGCATTCGCAGTGTGAGCTCAAACTCTGTCTGGACGCATTCACCTGCAAGGTGGACCCGTGCTACATCAACTCTGACTGGGACAATGAAACACGACACATTCAAACCATCACGCTTGTTCAACGAGAGCTACGCGTGGCGATTGAAAAGGAGTGCAGAGGCAAGGGTGCAGCGCGATCTCGCCCAAGCTATCACACCGCCTCACCACGCGATGCTAGGTGGACTGGGATGATAGAGGCATCGAATCGACGCAAGAGTTGTCTACTTACGTTCTCAGACGACATCTCCTCATCAGGAAGACCAAAGGAACACAGGAAGATGGTGGAGAGAGTTGGGAGTGATGTCGGCAGAAGACATTGACTCACGATAAACGGAACAAGACAATCCGTCATGCGGCAACGATGGGCAGATGCGTCACCTATCATACTCGAGGCGCGCACTCCCGGACACGACTGACTATGTGACCGCGGTCTACTCATCTCGGGACAAGCAACTTGCGCGCAGACATCATAGGCGCAAGAAATGCGCATGGGACGATGGGGAAGCACTTCAAAGAGGCGACCTCAGCTCATCTCGGACAGAAGATACGAGCTGACCTATTCGACTTACCGGTACTGCGTACTCTGCTTTACGCATCGCGAGACGTGGCGAGGAGAACAGGCGATGATGTTGACTCGCCACAAGGTAGCGCTGGGAGGCGGACATTTGCGTCAACGATTAACCGTTAGGGAGCAGAGAAGCGCAATTTTGGCAGACAGACATGCGCTTAATGCTGGTATCCGAGACGCAGAAGAAGTGGGACGCAAAGAAACGGAATGGGGCGGACATCGTGAGCACAGACGCATGGATGTCGTGGACCACAACGTTACGTTCTAGTATCCACGAAGACGTGCAGCGCACACTTGGCCGCTTCCTGCACACGATGGAGAGACTCTGAAGAAACTCCACCCCCCCCCCCTCAACACGCCCCACCGCTCTCAAGAAGGATGCGGGCCGAATCACTGGGCGCAAACACTCAAGATCGTCAAAATGGAGGAGCGTGGTGCTCGCCGCTTGAGGATCAATCGGCTGAAACGCAGGATCCAAACTAAGTAAGTAAATTGAAGTAGATTAGAAGCGTTTGGAAAAAAAATGTTGGTAGTCCTCTGGAATTTGATGTTTTAGCTTCTTCCTATGTTCATGAGAAATGTTAGAAAAAACTTTATTTAATGAGTGAAAATTCATGTTGCCTCGATCCCCGTCCTCAGAATGAGACAAAGTGTGGGACGTCTATGTACACTTCCCCTGTCGAGCCTCCTCCTCCCAAGTGAATAAAGGCCCATCTATCAAAGATGGGTGATACATTATTGAAGACATAATAGCTGATACAAAGGGGTCGTACTGATGCCCAGTGAAGATGGAGGGGGCAGCAAAGACTTTGAAATCTGCGCAACGCGCTTGAGCCCTGGTGGTCGAGTGGATAGTGTGTTCAACTCGGATTACCACGGCAGGAGGAGCTCTGTGGTTTGCCTTCGTTCCTCGGATGGTTTTTGCATTTTTATTGCCATCTCCAAGTCGACGCCAAATTGCTTCAGCGTCAAAATTAACGCTATATTCATATTCGGATATTCATGACTGTGAGTGGCCTCGCAAATGGGTTTCCTACCAATAACTAGCGAAAGCTTCCATGGAGCCGGTTTCTGAAGACCTCGTGAGATAGTATCCTTGACGACAACAAAAAGAAGTGGGAAATAGCAGAGCCCTGATCCACTCCGACACAGATAAGGATTTCCATTGAAACGAAAGCTGATGTTTGCATTCGAGTCTTTGCGCCTGAGCAGAGCAAAGCTCATCCGGGACGCCATGCTGTCGTGAGGCGTATCATATCACTTCACGTGGAAAGCGATCAGAGGCATTTTCCAAGTCTGGGAAGGCGGAATGCACCGACTTTCGTGTCTTACTGCGTCTTTCTAGCAGAGAACGAGCGGTGGGTGTAGCATCCATGGTGCCGCAGCCGGCCACGAAGCCGCGTTGGATTACGGTAAGCTGGATTATGTCACGAATACGGCGATCTTCAGTTCGTTCGAATGCCTTCATGCTGTGAGAAAGCAGACGAATTAATGGGCTGCTTGTGCAATCTGCGGGATTCCTTTTCCTCTTCTAAATCAGAATAGTCGTGTTCTGTTGCCAAGTTTCAGACACTTTCCTTGCTGCAACGACTTGGTTGAAGAAGTTCGTCAGCCACTCTGCACAATTCCAGCATTGTGACGTGCACAGATCCGCCGCCAAGGCTTTACCTATCTTCATCTAAGTAATACTTCGCAGCTGCCTGTGTTTGGCTCACAGTTATCTCGATATAGTCGGTCTGGCGATGGCGAGCTTTGCCTAGTTTGTGAATATAGCGTTCACCATCGAGCTTCTTGCTAACGCCATCGAGATGAACTGCTATAGCAACAGCCCTAGGTTTCTTTGCGCCTTCTTCGCGCTCTGGTAGTTGTTCCAGTACTTGCTTGAATTGTCACCAAAAACCTCTTGGTAGAATCTTTTCCTATTCCATACTTTTTCTTTGACGGTGTCGGTCTACAGCCATATCTTCTTGCCGATTTTCCGCCGTCCATGCTTCGTGATGCCAAGCTCGAAACGAGTAGCACGTTCCATGTTTCGTCGACAGTCGTTACAGTCGGTTGCCGAATGCGACAGAACAGATCGGATCCCTCTTCTTCAGGTTGCTACCACTTGAAAACACCGCTCGACTTTCTTGGTCCTCAGAGCGACGCGCTTTAGTTTGCCAATCAGTGGTCGATGTTGCGTAGCGACTGTCTCGTACGGCACTGTCGCATCCGTCACTAGCCTTCGACCACGTTGCCAGACGAGGACGAAATTAATCTGCGTTCTGGTATTACGCTGTAGAATGTGATGAGATGTGAGTCACGTTTCCTTTAGTTTGTGTTCACGATGGTAAGGTTGTGTGAGCTTGCATATCCAAGAATTCGCTCACCACATCGGCTTTTCATGACCCATAACCAAACCCACCATGACAACTGCACCGATCTTTCGCTGATCCGACGTGTCCATTATGGTTACATTCGACAATGATAGTCCTACGATGGTACTTCAGTTGCTTTCTCAACTAACAGGGCCCAGAATTCGTCCTTCGCTCTTTCGGTGCAGCCAGTCTGTGGAGCGTACGCAGAAAAGATGTGGTACTGGCGTCGCTCCAAAGCGACAACGATCAGTCTACGAATGAGCTCCTACAACATGTAGAGAACCATTTTGAAAAAGTTTTGAAATTGTTTCTATGTGGTGCGCATATAATCGTACTCATGTAATCTGATCGGTCTTCAGGAAAAAGAATACCTGCACTCGCCGCAGAATGTGCCACGTGCTCGACTTCATCACTACATTGAATATTTTTTGCCGAATTCCGGGGCTCATTCCATTTTGAAGTGCCAAATGAATAAACATTTGTTCTCTGCGTTCACCATCCCTTTCATTCATGCTCAAATGGAATTTTGGATCAGTTTTCAGTAGGAATAGTAATACTATTTTGGGAAATTTTATATTTTTGGAAATCTTTGTAAAATCTGAGAAGGTAGCGACGAAATCATACAATATGATTACCTATGCAGAAATGTGATGAGATACTTGGGCCTAGGTGAATGCCTGGTGTAGCCAAAACATCGCTCTCCGTCATGCTCTACTTTAAAAATCAGATTTCAGACTTTCTCAGAAGAACTAACAACCGTAAGATGTTCACTGTTCGATTTTCCATGATCCATGCTTTACACCATGATATCAACAACGATGGTAACCAAAACATTGCTTTTTAACCGTTCTCGACCTACTGCCGACCGAGTTCTGTGGCAAGTGTGGAAACTGTTCTTTCTGAAGAAGATTGCATGAGTACGATTATATGCGCATCACATACAAACAATCGCTTCACGGGAAGAAGCTCGAGAGCTTGGCGCTTTCAAAAATGAACTTTTTCAAGCTTCAGAGCACAGAACTCAACGGGCTAAGTTAGTGTTATCTTCAGATTTGAAAAAACTCTCAGTGAACTTAGTTATAGCAAAAAAAAGAAACAAAAAAACGAGAAATCGCATTTCTTGCGTGAGTTTTTGAAGTATTATGATGTACCGTTTACACAGTATAGAAGAAACCTCGTCCGTAGTCCTTAGTGCCGAAGTCAGAATTGCTGCCAGCAGTATGACGGTGAACACCTGATTTCCGGGCTTCTTTATTCCATGAATTAGCGTGGCCATATGATTCATCAGCCTTTTTGTCAATGTAGTTCCTAAAAACAAGACGTCTAACGTATTCAAGAAGCAACTGTTTAATAGAACCTATGACGACCAGTAGATTTGTTTCTGGAAGACAATCACCCTAACTGCTTATGTGCGAGGCTGACTATCTGTGACCAGCCTATTTTAACTTTTGAGAAATAAAGTTTCTCTATATTTCTCTATATTTATTTATTAATGACTATTGTAGCAGAACAGAACGAATGTTACAGGTCTGAATAAGGAAACAATTACATAAGGGTAAATGCGGAAAACTAATAATAATATTAATAATAATAATGGAAGTGCGAAAAAGTCGTTCAGAGCGAAACGAAATATCAAAATAACGAAACGTTGAATTATCTGACGCTGTGCCGCAAAAGTTGGCTTCATCAGACCTTGGTCGTCTGTTAAGCTTATGCTACCCCTAGAGCTGACCCTATGATCGAATAGTCTGTCCTCTCAAGTAATCATAAGCGTTTCTTTTTTAAGACGCTGTCCGCGATTAGGCATGCTCACTTGTTCCATCCCCGATTACGGTATACACGTGGACCAGCGTTGACGACGTGCACCACTTGCGAGGTTAAATTGCGTAACAAAGGCGCGATAAGTCGATCCATTCCACTGCCAGCTGGCGGCTGCTTGGCTGGCATGTGAGAAAGCGTGCCGAATTTTCGGAGGGTAGCCAACAGCTGCCACTTGAGCAACGGCAGCTAGCCGTTTGTGAAAGTGGATCATACACGGCCATTATCGAGGTGAAATGCGGCTTAACCCTTAGACAACGACTTTTTCAAAAAGAAGCTGTCGATGTGTTCTGTGTTGTATCTGTCGCTCCTTGCAACAATCAACCATCTACAGAAATTTGGCTGACGTACGCTGGGTTTGAGCTGGGATTCGATCCAGGGACCGTACGCGCGATAGTGGCCCCTCCTTTCACAACACCATGTCCGCTCGAATGACCATTTTCGAAAAAATAGACTGGCAGTTAAATTACCATTTACCAAATACACATTTTCCACATTTCATTCCTGGAATACGCTAATTTCCGACTGGGAACGCAGGGTACCCCTTAGGAGGCCCGTCGCGCGGCAAGAAGGCCAAGTCAGCGGACGAGTCGTGCGCGCACTATAGGGATTTCGCGTCATGTCAAAAGAGTGTCCCATTGTACGTCCTACATCGTACATCACGCGCTGCAACTCGTCCGACAACTCTGCCTTCTTGCCGCGCGACGGGCCTCCTGGGGGGTACCCGGGAACGCACTTGGAAAGAATTGTAAGCTTCACTTGGTAGGTGTGCTGCTCCGCGCTACAAGCGGCATTCACCGGCTACTTCTGCTGCAAAGGATTTTGGTGGGTTTTTATTCCCAAATCTGCGCCATTATAGGTGCCACTTCCGTAACATCCGACTGTGTTGGAGATCCCGTCCTCCAGGGAACTGACAGATCCCTGGAGGACGGAATCTCCAACACAATCGTAGTACGCTGCGTCGTTCACTGACTGGCTTGCGACCGGCAAAATGCCCCCATCCCTCATTGGTTTGCTTACGTTGCACGTGATACAATAATTGAGGGAAACACTGAACCATTACAACAAGTATGAAGAGTGGAAGCTCGAAATTTACCCTTTTGGGGGGGGGGTGAACACAGTACAGTGACCTGCGATGAGACCTGCTTATTGCCTTATCCAGGGCAACGCGCTCTGACTTAGGAGGATTTGGGATGATAGAAGGAATTGTAAATTTTCTATATGTGCACAATCCGCCAAAGCGGGTCCTCCGATCTCAATAAGTGCCAAAAATATGGCAGTGTCTCTGATTACAAAATGGGACACATGTGTCCCACCAGTAGTCAAAGATTATCTCACGCAGGATGACTTGCTTTAGTTTCTAACGATTAATTGTCATAGTGAGAATTCGAAAGCTTCTATATGTGCACAATGCAGCCATCAAATGATCGCTCATGCCTCAATTTTTCCTGGAAATGTGGTAGTGTCTTTGACTACAAATGGGACACATTTGTCCCACCAGTATTCGAAGGGTTAAAGGGAAGGGATCTGTCAGGGGCGGCACCAGTAGTTCCCTTTCTTTCCTTGTCATTTTCGAACCACTCCAAAACCACAGCTTCAGTATTGACCCTTTGACTACTGTTGATACTCATGTGTACCACTCATGTAGTCAAAGGCACTGCAACAGTTTTGGGACTTATTGGGACAGGATCACCCGCTCGATGCTGGAATTGTGTACAACTAGGAACTTTATTATTTTGATTCTACAATAATTCATTAAAATTAGAGGAGAGTCACTGTGAAGAAGTTAATAAAGTAAGTTGTATCGCAGGTCACTAGCCAGTGTGCGCAGGTCCTCGAAGGTAATTGTTGAGTTCTGCGCACTCTTGATACTAAAGTGTGCACTTGTAAATTGCAATTGAATTGCCATATTATATTTCAAGACTATTCATTCGAACAGAGAATGTGTACTGACAAGAGAAGTTGCTACCGCGGACATCGTCTCTAGGTCAGTTACCAGGTTGACCTCAACGTACGTCTGCCGAACTTCCATAGACGTTTAATTTTTGCTAGGAGCGATAGCTATTACGCGAAACACATCGATAAGTCAGTACAAAAAAAAGCGTAGTCCAAGGGTTGAACGCTCTCACACACCCATTTTATCCTGGAGCTTCTTTCAAAGTATCAACCCCAAGAAGATGATGTGTGGAATTATGTGTCTGTGGAAGCGATAGATTGGCATGTGTGTTCTCCTTACCGCATTCCTATAGGGCACCCTTGATCAGGGAGTTTACTTTAACAACCGGCAGTTCGAAACCGCGGATGAACTGAAAGTGGCTATTTGGGCCGACAGCGACGAAATAGCTATGGCATACGTGGTTCAGATTATGCCGAACAGGTTGTTTAACTTAATTAGAAACCCTGCAGGTCCCACTGACTTCTAATTTTAGCTATGTTCTTGTTTTTTCGTTACGTGTCCACATACTTTTGAAACAAAAAAAATTCAATCCAATTTTTTATGAAAGTGGGACGATATTATCTGCTTCAAATTCATTGATGGGTGATCGAGTACGACAAATCGATTGAGGAGAATTCCATAGCACGATGCTTCTTAGTTGTTTTTTGAATGTGAATTTTGAGGTGCCCACATACTTTCGGAACGCACTAGTATCCGTTCGCTTCTCTCTAAAAAGGGAGGTCGTTCAGGGTGTGTCAAGCTTTCTCAAAACTGTCTTTGCATGATTCAGAGGCTCTCTGAATACCAGAAAAGGGGGTCTCTGGTCATACCTTCTTCACCACATTTCCAATCAAAGTCTACTTGTAAGGTTTTCTGACGGTCCTAATCATGAATATGGCACTAATTATTCATGCTAACTCCATTCTGCGCGAAGTTTGAAGCGTCAACACGGAATGCAAAAATTTGTCACCACGAGGAATCGAACTTGGAACCCATTTTCCGGTATTCAGAGGGCCGTTCAGGGAAAATGAACCATGCTTCTTTGATCCCCATACGTGCCCCAATGTCATGCAAGAAACCACTTTGAAAAAGCTTGGCACACCCAGAAAGACCACCCTTGTAAGTAAACATAATGAAATACCCCTTTTAAAAATATCGTTGATCCTCAACTTTATTGTTTCAGCGCAAAAGAAAAGGAAAAGGAACACACCAAGCACTGGCACTCTCGTGAGCTCCGTTGGCGAAGTCGTCAAAACTGCGGTGCTTTTTCATCAGTTCATATCCATGGTCCCCATCGCTGCCCTCTCGACCAAAACTGCAATGTTACGCCAATAAATGAAGGATGCTTGGCTGCTTAGCTTTGAGGTATAGTGAATTTGCAGAAAATGGGCTTTTAGAAGAGGCACCCGTTGTTATCTTATTCTTAGTATTATTATTATTATTCGAAAGAAGTCACACCTGGTCACCACGATGTCACACCTGGTGAACTTGCGCACCGCTTTACCTTTAAGAGATCTTTTTTATAGAGCTAGCCATGAAATGTGACCCTTATCGCCTAATGCACTGAGGGCAGGGTCAACCGCCCGTTGTGCAAAGAACAACGAGGGGCTCGTATTCGGTCGAACGAAAGGGGAGGGGGTCGTATCTAGAGAAAAGTGGCTGCAAGACGGCTTGAAAAGTGCAGTGTCCTGCAGTGCACATTCACGCCCTAATGTTCTCCGGAAGGTCTGCATCGCGCAGCTGTCGGAGAGTCACACAGACAAGAGCTCCATGGGACATTAGAGCATGCAGAACATTATAAGTCCCACTACCAGCCATTATTATCCTTAATACACGGACGGCGCTTTCACTTGACAGCATAGATCAAGATTACAATAACCAAAAACTTTCTTATAGCGTAGTGCAAAAAAATGGTCTGTCTTCGATCATCGAATATTCCTGAAATCCAAAGGAGAACAAAGAGTAGAGCAGTTCATGGGGGAGTGAAACAAGGGTACCATAAGACAGTACACTGCAACTTGTCACGGTACTAACACCTTCAGGAAAATAGAGGACATTCAAATGCGAGTACCGACTTCTGTCCACAGACAGGTGCACTTCGTATACCCGGGCAGGCATTTTCCCATAAAACACCTTCTTTGTCAAGGGCCGTGAGCAGGCAAACTTCCTGAAGAGAGTTTCGATGCATTCAAATCAAATCTAAGCGGAACAAAGTGTAGCGGATTCACCGCTTCTCATCACATCAACTTTAAGAAAGTTATGGGTCTTTGAAGACTGCAAAGCCATCGTCTTGGGAAATGGCTTGAAAAAAATCAATGTGGAAAAACCGGAACAACGGGACTATTTTCTAAGCGAGTAATTAAGTTTTAGCACTTATTCGGAAGCTCTAAACTTCTAGTTCCTAATTAGCTTAGACATCCGCAAAAAGTTGATTATGAAGAAAGTTATGAACGTTTGAATGTCGAAAACTCGCGCCTTCTCAAAAATGGGACTACAACCCCCCCCCCTCTCTCGAAAAACGGAGCAACGGGACTATTTCTTAAAAGAGTGATCGCTGGAAAAAAGTCAGGTGCTTGTTTGAAAGCGCTAATCTTCTAGTTTTTATTTGCCTTAGACATCTGCAAAAAGTTGGGTATGAAGAAAGTTATGAATGTTTGATCGAAAACACGCGTGTGCACAAAAAACGGAACAACGGAACGGTTTTTTGAAGTATTGAGCATTCGTAACATTTCAAATACTTTTAGGAAGAGAACTATTTGAATTTTTGAGGTTTTGATGTCCGGTTCCATGAGACCGCTTTTGAAAAAAAATATAACCTTCTGAGTGGAGGGGTTCGTATTGTAACGTAATTGCTAAAGGTTTAGTTTTTCGGATTATACGATAAAGAAAATTGAGAAATCCAAAAAATTGGTAGGTTTCTGAAAGTAGAAGTCTTCGTGATTATTATCATGCATTGGTTTACTCAAAAAATTTAGAAATTCCCTCTATTTAATGAATAAAACTTCAAGTTGCCTCGATTCCCTCCTCTGAGCGAGACAAAGCGGGGGATTGACCGCGGTCCACCACGTCTCCATGCTGGTGACTGCCCACACGTCAATGATGAACATTGAATTATGCAAAAGACATCATAATTAATACGGGGGGGGGTACCGATACCCTCCGAAAAGGGAAAAAGTCGTGAAAATTTTGGAATATGCGCAACGCAGGTTGAGCCCAGGGTCAACCATTCCACCTTTCAAGCCCACTGTAAGAGACACGGCAACACATGCAGGGTCAACCGTTACGTTCGACCGATATTGGAGCGACGTTGGACCGATGTTCGCCGCTCTCTGCGCCTGCATTCACTCTCGCCACCCGCGAGCCGTCTGTGTCTCCGTGCGTACGTTCACTCTCGGCATTACTCTCGTCGTCGCGTTGGACTTTGTCCAACGGACGGTTGACCCTGGTTGAGCCTGACTGAGAGGGCGTACCAGCCAGTAATCGCAATTGCTGCAACGGCTAATATCAAAGCACAACACAGGATCATCTCAGAAAAGGTTTGCGAATGGTGCGAAGCACGGCGAAGCGGAAGCAATAATTCAGTTGCCTCAAAACCTATAAATATTTCTACGAGCTGGCCAATATAATGAGACCATCTGACGGCAGTGACACTTATCAGAAAGGTGAACTACCTGACTTGACGAACAGAAGCTCTGCTAAGTTCAAGCAGTATACAGAGGGTGAAGACTTTTATCATTACGACGGAACCATACCCATCGTGGTGCCTTTTATATAGTGCCGTAGCGCACCATTCATGTTCCTGTTGCACTTCTTCATAAACTCCTTTTGCGCCTCATCGAATCGAGGAAGCCTTGAAGCTTAGCTATACTGGTTCTGCGACGCTTAAGAAATCCGCAAAAGCTGACTAAGCAAGTGACAAAGGAGAGAAGAACAATTATATGAAATGAAGATCTCTCCATGACGAGTAGCTATACTACGTATTTTAGTCGATATTCGTGGTTCGCTACGTTAGCCTCTTCAGGGATCAAATCCTGTACAGCGCTTATGTGCCCAGGATAGGGGATAGGTTTAATCACTACCGTGCCTACAGAGACAGTCAATTAGCAATATAACTATTCTAGATGGTTCGCGGGCTTGGTTTGACTTAGTGGGACTAAAAAATAGTATCCACTGTGGAACAAGCAAATGGTACATTCATTTTACTACAACACCTAATATTCCCACAGTTGTTCAAAGCTGAACCTTCCGAAGTGAATGGAACTTTGGTAATTTGAAATGGCACTTGTACGGTTTCTCGGCGTTTGGGATATTGGCCGCAGGAGCGCTGAACAAGAGCATCAAAAATAGCAAAGAAAGCAAAGCATTAAGCAAATAGTTATCGATTACTCTTTACTTATCGTGCGTTTGAGCTGCAATTCATTGATGCTCATCTGTGAGGCGTAAAACGTAGGCACTTCTCTATCAAGAAATTGGGGGCGATTCCAATGCTCCAATGATGAAAACGGCTGTCGGGAATAGGGAAATTTGCGCAGGCCCCAATGCAAACCTGAGTTGTTTCAAACCCATAGAGATTGGAGGAAAACGTTTTGTCTGCCAGTACATCTAAATGCTAAAAAAAACAAAAAGAAACAAAAAATGTCACGTAACCATGCCTTATGTGCTTAGATAAGGAATGAAATAATAGTCTTGAGTATTGCAGTAATGAGTGCTCAGCCACTGGACTACCGTGGTTGGGATTACACTGTAAAGAAGACATATTTAAAGTTGAATTGGTTTTGAACAGACAATGTTGAATGTGGAATAGAGGTGAAGGTCCGGGATTGGCCTTTCATTGAGGGTGAGAATGAAGCGGACCAGTCCTCGTAGTGAGAGCAATCAAAATGAATGGCCATGCTGAAAGTCGCCCTCATATGGTGTCTCGTGGATCAATGCTTCTCTAGATCGCCGATCTGACTGTATGGTCTTCAAGATCAAAGAGTCCACATTCAGCATTCTTTGTAATATTCTGTGGTTAATGGCGGAATTAACGCTTAAAAGGCAATGTGTTTTAAATTAAGTTGGCAAATGGATGGTCTGTCATGCAAGGAACGAAGGAGAAATCCACGAAAGAAACGGGCCCGAACCGAAAATGGGGCCCCCTGAGCCACTGATTTTCACATGATGAGGCTCTCATCGTACTCTCTTTATGCTAGCGTTCTCTCTGCTATGTACTGTCGGTGGCCTACCGCGGCCAACTGTACAAGAGTGAGCAGAACTCAAACCAGCCGGGTCTCCAAACTTGCCGCCGTCGGTATCCGCCCCTCAGGCAGGCTCACTTGTGCTTCCCAACTGGCAGTGTTTCCCTTTCTTGACCTTTGCGCTTCTTATTCGGCGAAATTGTCCGTTAAACAAAAGCAGTTGTGGAAGTGATCGATGCCTCAATATATTTCAAAATTTTGCGGACCTACACGCATTAACGGCTCCGCGACATTGTTAAGGCGTAGGTGGAACCAGCATTCGCGTCGAGGACGTGAGTCGGAGAAAGAAGGTTCACTGCCGCGAATTTCGTCACCTTTGGAACGAGTATGGGAGTAGATAAGGAGCTATGATTTGCTTACTACCGGCAGTATTCGATAGGTCCTCAACGAGTCTTACACTTGGCTAGAGTAGAGGGTCTCCCAATTGGTGTCCCGATTGTCAGCACTCGCGGACGCTGGAATTTTTCATGCGAGCTTTTGCGCAACTCAAAGTGCAATACACCTAATGTCGTAGCCATGTCATAATAACAGAAGCAGCTCTCCGGCCGGCAAAGCGTCGCGAAAGGCTTTAGCGTCTCCTCTGCCCAACCACTGTTTAGCTTCTCATCTAAACTTCTTAAGTGGAGACTGATTTTTGGCCGGTCCGGCGATCTATTGAGGACGGTCTTTTGACCGCTCAAGAAGTCGCTTCCTTCTTTACTACAGTGCGTACCAAAAGTATGTGGACACCCTGAAATAGATATTCTAAGGGGTCAGTTGAAGATTTTTATGTCATGAAACCTTTACCATTCAACTTCCAGGAGTCGATAACCTTCAATGATAACTTCGGCAAAAGATTTCGTTCTAATTTAGCAGAATATTTTTGATGGAAATTTTTTCTTTGTACCAAAAGTATGTGGACACCTTGATGTAGATGTTCTGAGCCAACTCTCTAACCTATTTTTACTTTTCCTTGTGTTTTCCTTATTCTGTCTTCATTCCTCTTCACAGCAAGCAGCAACCTCTTTCGTGTGTTGAGAAAGAGATCCAGAATCCTTGTGGGGAAAATTGGAGTTTGGCTTGCCAACATGTAAGGTAGACAACTAGGATTATAAGGAGCTCCTTGAAACCCGGCTACAACCTTTTGCCCTCGCGAATCATTTGTTTTCCAGCGAGTCCGAGATGAGGTCCCCGACACGTATTCCATTTGGGACAATGCTGAACGCAACGATTTTGATTGGTAGGTCGGCTAGTGTATTCCTCAGACCTTATCCTAATCGAAAACGTAGAGGCGTCCTGGTTCGCAGTCTCGTCATCATTGAACGGAAGAGTAATATCACAAGTGACCTAACAAGCTGGTAAAATTGACTGGTTGGGAACAGGTCTACAAGGCAGTTGTGACAGTCTGGTTCAGAGCATGCTAAATAGAATTTCTCAACTCACAAGGAGCATCGGTAGGCCAACCGGTTTTGGATTCTGAAGATATTGCCATTTTTCTAAAAGTGTCCACATACTTTTGATACAGGGGTACAGCGAAATAAGGTTTTTCCATCATTTGAAAGAAATTAAAGCTGCATGTAACTTGGTTAGAAATGAGAAATTCTAAGTTTTCCGCATACGAGAAAAAGAATGGTGGTAGTCGCATGGCACAGAAGTCATGGTCAACAGTTTTCAAGAGAATAGGAAATTTTAGGGTGTCCACATACTGGTACGCACTGTATTGCAGGTGCAATTCGTTGGTAACACTTGGAATCTGTCTAGGATATACATTCTTTTAGCGTAACCGATAAGAAAAGAATCGCCATTGTCCGATTTTTTCTCGGTATCGGCCATGCATCCGACCACGATTAAAATTGTGGAATCGATTGATGGGTGCTACATAATAATGACCTTCCGATAGAAACTGCATTATGGTAAACACATTTTGTAACTCCTATGATTTAAGGCCACGGATCTCTTTCACTGAGGGTCCTCTCTCACTGAAAGATCTCGAGCCGGTTGTTGGCGAGGCTACGTGGCGCGACCCCAGGTGGCGGTTAGGGGGTAAATCGCGGACCAAAAGACACCATGTACTTGCCCTGAGACGCAGGTGGATTGAAGGAATCTTGCGCGGAAAAATCATGATTCTATTTCAGCCACAAATAACTGGCTTGGGACCCATTATCCACGATAATAGTGGAAAGAACCGAAGTATTGCTTTCGTTTTGATTAGAAATTCGAAAACTCGAAAAGGCTGCTACGCGTTCGAATTGCCCACGGACGTCTTTCACGAATGCTGGCGACGGGGACTGCTCAAACTTGGTTCTTGGAGTGCATTCACTAGAAGCTCTTTCTGGCCTTCTGCTTCGTTGCATTCACATCTTACACTTCTACTCCATCCTATTCCATCGATCGATTTGCCTCCAATCTCCGAAATCGCGCGCTTTAACCCGATTCTCTCATTGCCTCGCCCGGTACGTAATCGGCGTCTTCTTTCCATGCCTCGCCTGGCTCTGCCTCCTGGTCCTTCGATGGTCCATAACGTGTAGTTTTTGTACGTTTGTTTCTCTTCAGAAACCGAATCTTCATGCGTGAAACTTTGTGTGCTATTTCCACTGATCACAGCTGACATATTCATGTTAGGAAAGAGTGCAAGAATTTTCTGCGCAAGATTCCTTTAAGGGGGATGGACTCCCTGTTTCGTAGTGCTGTGTCGATTTATACCAGCTTCTCCATACAAGTGTATCCATACATGCTTGCGTGTATGGTCCGCTCTGTGTGTGTGCGGTTGGTATCCTGCATGTCGGCACAGCCAAAAGCTTGCATTCAAGTGACTGGGAAGTACATGGGAGACGATTCGGGGCCGTCTCCAAGAAATATGCCCCTTGTTGCGCTCCAGGATAGACCTCCAGGTAGTTAGCGTGGCTAACTACCTGGAGGTCTATCCTAGCCCGCACGACAGAGCCTGGCAAGCTACTCGTGTGCCTTCAATATGCCGAAAACAGCAATATGGATGGGCCTCATTCCCCTGAACCTGAGGGAGCCCCCAATACGGCAGCGTTGGGTAGGACCGCTCGGGAGAGGCTGCTAGAATCTCAGGGCCCGGATAGGCTGCCTAACGAAGGACTAAGCATGGCGTCTGGGACGGTATAAAAGTGCGCATACGACTGGGAGTCAGAGGTGGTGAACCTCGGCCGCTAAACGGCGAATAAATGAAAGGAGAAACAGGGAGGTGACCCTCAGATAGCGACGAACTTCAGCACTAGTTGCAAATAACCGCTGCATCACCGCGGCAATTGATCTCTCTGCTATTCACTTGACGCGGCACCTGAGACCACTGCGCCACCAACGCTGCTTTGCACATGCTGGAATGGTTGCCTGAGGTAGAGAACAGCCATCGGCGGAGAGGACCGAGCGGATCAATGGGCAGGCAGGACGCAGAAAGACGGCGGGGCAATTTTGCCAAAACGCGAGCCCGGGCAGAGAAAGGAGAAAGTGGATGGAGATCTGAGCCGACCATAAATGTACT